ATTCACGTCTAACTTTAAATTCAAGCCACTTCAGCTATATCACAGCTGTATCACAGCTGAGGTAAGTTTCACAAGGAACGACTATTAATGCAGGTCTTAACTTTTGAAACCCGATTCAAGTTTTTGCCAAAGTAAAATTCACTTCTGGGATTAATCGGAGAACTACTCGGGTCCCGTTTGTATTCTGTAGAGCTTACTTCCCAAGCGAATTATGTATGACGATAAATAACCGAATGAGCGCTGCGATCCTTCCCAGAGCAATTGAGCGCGGCTGCTAATGGTGACGATGTGCAATTTTCTCCCTTCGTGAGCGTTTATTTTTCCTTTCGCATTGTTAGCGAGGTCAACGATGTAGTAATTGCCTCCGCTAACAAATTGCCAGATGCAGCACTAAGTGGACCGCGGGACGTACGGATAGACGTGGCGACACTCGTTGTCTCGCCAGCATCGCTCTGTTTATATAATCCCGGTAATTCTAACTGTCGCAAATTCAAAGGGAATTACGATAAACGTGCGTGTTGGTCGGAGAGGAGATCACTCTTCTGATTCTGGCGTCCACGTGGATTGCGGACGGATTACATGGCAGCTACAAATCATCATATATACTTAACATAGTACAATACGCGCACTTTGAATTTTAACGAACACGCGCTTACCAATCATAAATAAATAAATTAGCGAAGCGAATCAGCATTAATTCAGCACGCTTCGTTCTAACCAGTCGTTCTCGACTTCCTCGTTCTCATTCTACAAAATGTATGAAAAAAGTTACATAATTGATTGATTAACTGTCATTGCAGCTTCTCCGGATATAAGTCACAAATTTCATTCACTTTATGTCAAGGCAGAAAAAAGGAAGAATTCGAGTTTATATAATTTGCTACAAGTGTATACTACAAGTCAATTTTCTGGGTGTTCAATTTTAAATAGGTCAGCCAAGTATCTTGAACACGTACATAAATTTGCCCATGCGCATAATTGTTGATGGAAATTAGCGATGTTGCATTTTTCATTGCTAGATAACTCTTAACTATTGGACTTAGGTACAAAGGTAGGTTGTACAAATCTTTGGAATTTTCTACGCAGCGATGAGTGATTTTTTAGAATTTGTTATAAAAAGTACTTTTTATTTAAAAAAGAAAACAAGGTTGATCTCCATATAACTTTGGCGAATTACCACAATTAAAATTTAAGTCTCTTAATTTAAGTCTTTTTTCCCCCTCTCAAAAACCTATCAATTTTGTCTGAAACCTATTTATTTACTGAGTTTAGTTTTTGAAAAATTCGATTGGCCTGTTTCAAATGAGACACCCTGTGTATACATAAATATATACATACATATGTATGTATGTACGCGCGCGCGCGCGCGCGCGCGTGTGTGTGTGTGTGTGTCGAGTAGACAGATCTCCCACGACGGTATACTTTCGTTTCGAGCGTCAACGAAAGCTCAAACTCAACGAGAAATGGATACGACGAGACGGTAGCAAAAAAATGAAAATTAGTTTTCTGCACTTGATTCTGTAGTCAATAAAAAGAATTACACGCGCGGAAGAAGCGGAGCGGAATTTCCATAAAAATTTGACGATTCGCTCGCAGATATTTTTCTTACCGTGAACAAACAAACCGATCGCGGTGGACGCTTTAAACGATGAGGAACAAATTCTCGTGCAGGTGAAACCGTCCAATTCCGCTGGCTAATTCGAATAGTTGAAGTTATCTCGACGCCAGATCGGTACACACGTCTGTACGTACCGTGAAATAATTGAACGCGAGTTTGCCCGCGGAAACACGCCGGCAATGCGCTAATATCGTCGCTTTGTCGGCCAATCAACTTCGGCCCTTTACCGACTCGTCCATTTAAATCCGTGTGATCGCGCTTGTTCCATCTCACATTCGGAGAAGATAATCCATTTCCGGTCGATTCGCGTCGGCAGCCGGATGCGTTCGCGGGGTTAAACGATCGCGTTTTCCGTGTAATCGTTACCCTGTTATCTCGCAGCTATCTCTCTCTGTTACGCTTTCCGCACGACGTCATGCAAGTTCCTAATAGGCGCAAACAATGGGCGAGAATGGCGAGCTGTACCACCGCTGGTGCACCTACATGTGTGTACTTTTTGCCGCACACGCGCGCTGACTTGCAGCGAAACGAACATATATATTTTGACGAATATACATTCGGTGAGAGCCGCGCTCATGTCTACTCCGGCATTTCGGTCTAGAATCCTTTCGCAAATCAGAAGTTATTTCTTTCAACATGTGACCATTATTCCTGGCATTTTCCTGACCACGCTTCCGGCTTTTCTTTATAATCCTGAGAATATCGGGTCGCAATGAAGAGTGTAGATGCATGGAAAAAAAGTGTGAGCTGTCAAGTGCAGCTATTATACAGGATACTCTGAATTCAATCCATCTCTCGCTGCATCTTTGATTATTTTGAATTTAATGGGCTTGAAGAGAGAACGTTCAGGCAGCAGTATTTTATTTTCAATTTTCGAGTTTGCAGAAGATTAAATGTAAAATAGGTTTCCGCTGTATTTCGTGCGCGTATCCGCGGAATAAAATCGACTCGTGCTCGATCATTGGTAAGTCATTAGTAAGCATTATGCATTCAATTATTTCATGGAAATTCGTTAAAAAATCCGCGTGTCGAGCCAACTTCATGGAGAGCCCTGTACGTTCCTTTACTCACTTAATTAGCTCATCATTATTTCGAGTGCCAACTGTGCAGTGAGACTTGAATAGTGAGATGTACTAACGTTCTGTCTCGTCCAATCGTCTGTCCTACATTGTGAGATGTAAATATATTGAACTTTGTAAGCTCGGAATATTATGTTGACATAAAAAGCATTCGGAACTTGAACATGTAGATGGACAATTTCTTCCATTAAATGATCGCAGCCCCATCGATCTCATGAGATTCATCACGCTTTCGAACGTATACGTACACGCGTACGCTGTGTGTGTACATGGGCGTGCACATGTATTGCGCATATATCAGAGCGCCGTTAAGATACTATAAACCATTTTATTTGCCAATTCATTTCGGGCCGCTCGTATATCCGCAAACCCTCGTCTCTCTTTCCCTTTCAGCCGGCAGAATTTACTCGCACGATATGTGCACGTGGTCGTGAGGTCAGAAGCGATAATCAACACTTGTTTGCCGCGCAATTTCAAGAAATATACGAGGTCTTGGTATAAAAAAGAAGCAGCCTGCTTGCTCCATATTTTTCAATTTTACCGTCACGTTGTGTAAAATGTACAAGGCGAGGAAGGCGTAGAAGGCGTAATGTAACGACACGTAACATATGATTACAATAACATTCGATTTGCCAGTTTTACGTTCTCCCAACGTTGTATGCGTATGTACAAATGTGTATATTATATAACGTTATAGCCTGTGGCGCCCGTTTTACATTAAGGGGATGCCAAAGTGAATGACGAACTCCAGAAATGTGACGCAGAGACGATCGTCACTAGCACGATCACATCATGCTTTTCGTATTTCTTGTACATATAAGTCTTATATAAACGTGTTCCGCTTTGTTTTACCATATTATGTGGAAAGTATGCATATGTAGAAATCTCTTTCTACGCAAGCTTTTCATGTACATTCCAGTTTATAAATTCAATTGTGAAGATACAGCAATGTTCTTTGAAATTTTCCTAAGGGAGCAAACACACACGTTCGGTACGTACAGGTTGCGGAACTTTTATATCAGATAAATTTTCACGCTAATTGACAACTCGAGATATCAGTTTTTAAATTTCCTCATTGTTTTTAACAGATATTGAACAATACTCTAATTCATTTTTGCGCGTCATTTCATTATGTAAAAACATTTGTAATGCGGTGCGATCAATAAGACATAAACTTTGCAAAAAAGTCAGCATCTTGTCGATAAAGTTTTCAAGTATAGCATCCCTTTATTTTCTTTTCGTGCTTGACGTTTTTAACGAGCTGATCCTATTAATTAAATTTTTTAATTGCATGTCATGGAATTTTAATTATCATGGAAGTAAATCCCTTAACCTGTACCTCTTATTTTGTGGTAATTTTCTCAATTTTATTTCAGGTAATTTTTTACAAGCGCAATAAATTACAAACATAATTTGTTACAAGTATACTCATCTGTCATATGCAAAAATTTTAAATTTTTTTCACGAAATTTTTAGTTTTACAACTCGCTGTTCTCTTATAGTCAACTTTTCGTGTCAATTTTTAAAGTTATACAGATAGCACGCGTGATTTAGTAAAAGAACGCAGAGTACTTCTCGCACAGATGAATAATATTCGTCTGATAAATGGCATTATCGTGATTAAAATTAGCATAATCGCTCGCGCAAAGCCAAATTAGGAAAAGTGGACACGTCTTTTTGCCACCGGTCATTTTACCGCGCGTTAAATCCCTCTCCTGCGCGCTCTTGAATGATATTTTATTCCGTTATATTAGCATAAAAGGACCGGAGCGAGCGGATATTTCTTCCACGTAAATTCAACTTTCCGGATCTCCCCGCTGTATCATCGGCCTGCTTTCGAGCCGGTGCGTGTGCGCGTGTGTGTGTTTTTGCATGTTTTACTTTCTCCCCTTTTCTTCCTAAAACGTTGAAACATTAAACTGAACGACCCTATTATTCTCACACCTATTTCACGTGTCTCTTCTCCGCCAAGGTAGAATCTAGTGTGAGAAATTCAAGAAGCAACTTTTATCATATTACACACTTTTATCATATTACACACTGGTTATTCGACCTAGCTGTACTAGCTTTTCATACTCAAGAGTACATTATTCGTCAGACTAATTCGCGTTTGCAACGCGGACGTCTGACATTACTATTGATTCGAGAGGGGATTTGCGCGATAAGTTTTTCTATGTTTCTTTACCGTAATCCACTCTTAATCAACTTTGCCCCATCTGAATTTTTCGCATCATTGTGTGTTCAAAGATGAAAGATATTACTGTGCACGATAAGAAGATAAAAAAGAAACCTCTGTGTTGCAGACTCTTCAACGATCGGAATACAATCGCCTACGAGATCAATAACAACGAGACCTATCTGAACAACGAAACTCTGCACTACAACGTGTCATTGAACGAAGATTACATCTTTGACAGAACCGACGTGAAAGTAATCTTCATCACTCTGTACACCATCGTATTCGTCTGTTGCTTCTTCGGTGAGTGAGCCCTTTTGCGTATTTCAAAGGTATCGATTTGTCGCGCTTTAAATGCCTCGCTTGCGTCGGCCAGGACGGGAGACACAGATCGAAAATGTATCCATTGAGGGAATCCCGCTCTTACTCGCCCTCTCTCTTTCTTCCCCTGCAATTTTCGCGTGTCCGCCCGGCTTTTTGGGCTTAATCTCGCTGCTAACTCACGGTGAGTTTAATCAACGACTATCTCAAGCCGAAGCAAAGAACTTGCCGTTTCACGCGGAAGGTAGTCCGCGACTGCTTTTTGCTTAACGAGGCGCGTCTGAAACTCGTATGTTGCTGTCAGAGTGACTTAATTTTCTCCCAGACGTCGCATGAACAAAACAGCCATCGTGGATTACCATAGAACCGCTATTAAGGCGGCCGTACGCTTCCGGTCACGTAATTTATGCGATGTATTAGTAGGTCACCTTCGAGCAAAAGAGAGAGAGAGAGAGAGGGTTCGCGAGCTTCGTAATTTGTCGGTCTCGATTTGAATAAATCAAACGTACTTACGGGTTGCGTGAAGTCTACATAAGATTGACGTTCAATTGTCTTCACAATGCTATTTATCAGAACTGTCTAAAACCCGTATTAATAGTTGTCACCTGACGACTTGTCCCATTTAAGATACTCAGATTTTTCCTTAGAGTTAGATCCAAATTTTTCAAACGAATTATATGATATATGTGACACTATGTCTGTAATCGCGCGATTCAACTGAGAAACTCTCATCTAACTTTGATCTCAATTTTGAATACTAAACTCAAATCTTATTTGAGACAAGTTTCAAATAACAACTATTAATGCAGGTCTAAGAAATCGCTTTAATGGAAGCGGGAAAATGGTCAGAAGATTCAATATTAATTGAAATTTCACTTGTGACGTGGTGCTTAATGTTGCAAATTTGAAAACTCGATTTTAATTGTATTGCTCGCCATAGAATTCTCGTTAAAGAAAAATTGATTGAAGAGAAAAATTAATTGAATTTGTCGAAAGAACTGAATTTGTGTCCCGAATTTTCCACCGGCATTTGGTAAAAATGACTTTTACGTGCGCAGTATACTAAATAATAATTGCTCTCTATGGACGCTATCGAGCGCGCACGGAGATCCTAATAACTACATATCGCCTTTAATACGTAATGGTACTTATGTCGATTTAATAATACCGTGTCGATTTAATAATACTGTGAGATTAATAATGAGCGGTCATAACTCGATTTAGAGCAAACAAGGAACACAGTGATGCGATTGCATAGCCACTTGCATATCAATGAAATTCACGAAAGACATTATGCATAGTGAGCTGATACGAGGAATGCAGAATGCAGTCGGAAAATTTCATTGTGTCCGTATCGAAATACTTGCACCTTGGGAACGGACGGAAAATGGGTGCGATTATTAGTTTACGTATTTTATACTTAAAACGCATTAGCCATATTTTAAATGAGCTCGAAACAAAGCAAGCTTTGTTGGGAACAAAGCAAAACTAATTAACCTGGAGATATTTCGTTTCTTTCCTATAAAATATAGATAAAATATTTATGTTTTATTACAAAATCACCTATGGTGACTCTTTTAGGTCAGATATTACTTTTGATTATTTCAACTTTGACTTAAAAATTAATAACAAGGACACTGAGAAAAAATGGTTGATTCAATTAAAATTAGTTACTTTTAACCATATTTTTTGCTTCTTCTAATTTGAAAATGGTAATAGCGACATGCACATGAGGTTTTTATTATTAACATCATAGTTGAATCTAAAAAAAGAAATGATATTTTTTTACCATAATTTATAACAATTATTTTTCTACGTGGTTATAAATTTTTAATAAGTTATAAGTTACAAGTTTTTTTCCTCAATAAAGCGGTGAATCCGCGTTTTATAAAAACATTTCTCGTTATTTGAAACAACAACGATGAGCAACGGCGGAGAAACTCCCCATGTATTTTCTACGTGGTTGTAAATGTTTAATAAGTTATAAGTTACACATTTTTATAATAATTCTTAAGTAAGTTATAAGTTACAAGTTTTTTTTCCTCAATAAAGCGATAAGTCCGCGTTTATCATAAAAAAACATTTCTCGTGATTTGAAACAACAACGATGAGTAACGGCGGAAAAACTCCCCAACGCATTTTCTACGTGGTTATAAATGTTTAATAAGTTATAAGTTATAAGTTTTTTTCTCAGGAAACCGGTGAGTTCGCGTTTATCATAAAAAAACATTTCTCGTGATTTGAAATAACAACGATGAGCAACAGCGGAGAAACTCCCCAACGCTCCAATTTTCTATGTGGTTATAAATGTTTAATAAGTTATAAGTTACAAATTTTTATAATAATTCTTAAGTAAGTTATAAGTTACAAGTTTTTTCTCAGGAAAGCGGTGAGTCCGCGTTTATCATAAAAAAACATTTGTCGTGATTTGAAATAACAACGATGAGCAACAGCGGAGAAACTCCCCAACGCATTTTCTAAGTGGTTATAAATGTTTAAGTTATAAATGGTTATAAGTGGTTATAAATGGTTAAGTTATAAGTTACAAATTTTTATAATAATTCTTAAGTAAGTTATAAGTTACAAGTTTTTTCTCAGGAAAGCGGTGAGTCCGCGTTTATCATAAAAAAAACATTTCTCGTGATTTGAAATAACAACGATGAGCAACAGCGGAGAAACTCCCCAACGCATTTTCTATGTGGTTATAAATGTTTAATAAGTTATAAGTTACAAATTTTTATAATAATTTTTAAGTAAGTTATAAATTACAAGTTTTTTCTCAGGAAAGCGGTGAGTCCGCGTTTATCATAAAAAAAACATTTCTCGTGATTTGAAACAACAACGATGAGCAACGGCGAAGAAACTTCCCACGCATTTTTATCAGATGCAATCCGGGGGGAAAGTGTATAACGACGCGCGATATATTCTTGTCACTCGAGCGTCTCGTAAATAACATAGCTATAGCTTGTTAGATAAGACAAAAACGAAACATTGATCCGATTGTTCGATTTTTTGAACGGTGATTTCTTTTGCCGCCGCTCGAAATTTATGCTCTCAATAAGCGCCAGCGTGTCCGACATGATTGCGGTCTCGGTTAGCCCGCATACAAAAGATAAACTTTAACCACATGCGGAAAGATCCATCCTCCGCGCGACGATAACATGTGGAATTTCGGACCCGAATATCTTTTCTTCGACTGAAACTGTCGGGATGTGTGAAACGGTCATACCGATCGTATCGGTCAAACTGAAACAGCCATTTTGGTGCGATCGGTGAAAATACAACGGCGAAACAATTTAAAAGTTAAATATGAAGTTAAATGAAACTTCACGGAATTCGATGTTTTTTTAAATCGTTGCAACGTAGCTATTTGGTACTAAAACATTCTTTATTGTTTCTTTCTTATTATTTTTTTATTGTCACTAATCATCCATTAATTCCTGTTAAATATAAAATTTACTAAAATTTGATATTTCTTTAAATTGGCCGTAGTTATGCATAAATGATTTAATCCGCATAGAACACGTTTCAAAAAAATAAAGATGAAAATTTATACATGATAGCACTAAAGTTCTTCACAATTATTCAAGAAATCAAGCATGATCAATTTTCTCTTTTACAAAGATATGCATTGACAAATTTAATCCTTAAAAAATGTACAAATAAGATGCAACTAGTAAAAATGAAATAACTAATAGAAAGTGAAAAGTGTTTTTTGATTAATTTTAGGCATAGATCTTGAATTTTTTTGGTTTTATGTGGAAAGACGTATGGGCTGCCCATTTGGTAGTAAGAAAAACTGAAAAAATCATAATTTTATGGATTAGATAATTCTTGCATGATTATTGCCAATTATTGTAATGTGGCTATTTTATTTTATTATCATTAATCTATGGATCCATGAATCCAATAATATAAATAATGAATCCAATATATAAATAATGAACGGAATATCCCGCGAAATTCGCGTTTTACAAAGTTGTCGCGTTATAACGAGAATATTTCAGCATGGATAAAATTTGAATTAATTTAAGAAAACAATTTGAAAACGAATTTTCACGCACAGTGAGCTCGCAAGATAATTAAAGCACCCGCATTATTCGACGGGGAAAGGTGTTGCGGTGACATGGCGACGGTATTACGTGAACATGCGGTCTCGAAAACGAGAAATTCCCGCCACGTGTCGCGCAATCCAGGATGCGTTCCACCGTTAAATGATTAAATATTGCCTATCGAATTACGGGCACGCCGATACGGCTATTTACCTTTCTTGTAGCTGTCGCGTTTCCAGGGCGACATAACGACATCGTTATCGGACATCGTCGCAACACGAAGCGCGATCGATAATCGAATCGCTTACACAGGATCGAGCATTGAGTTAAAACTATGCCGCGGCATTTGTCTCGTTAACGGAAGGATCTTCTCGAGCGTGCTAATCGCGTATGAAAGTACAGAGACTCACGGCCACGATGAAATGAGAATGCGAGAAACACAGCAAGGTCGAACTTGAATAGGGACAGAGATGCGTTATCCACGCATCTCGTAATCGCTAGCCGCACGATGTAATTGTCTCGAATCACCGCGCTGCTGCATCGGCGATTATTCTTGCGTTCCAATTATCCCGGGCTCAGTGCTGCCGAACGGTATCTATCTTGTACACATTCTGCCACAACCGGAAATGCAAATATTCGCAGATGGTGCAGTAAATCTCTCTCTCTTTCTCTTGAAGCGAAATCGCGCACCCCGGCTCGCCGGGATTTCAAGTCGTTTTTCTTCCATCGACTTGTTTTACCTCGGCAGTCCACTCACCGAGCGACGATTCCTCCAGATTTCTTTCTTTTTTCCTTTTTTCTTTTACGTGCATCGTACGCGACAACGTGTGGAACAAGCAATCGAGCCGGCCGCTCCGAAACGAGCTCTCCTAAACGTATCGTTCGAAACGTCCGCACGTTATAAATCAACGTGTCGGCAATCGCGATTCC